GCAGACCGCGCGGCCCATTCCGCCCTCGCCCCCCCCCTCGCGCGGCCCAGTGGGCGAAAAGGGCCTTCCTAGCGGCCCCTAGCCACGTATTCCAATCTAGTTAGCAGCCCGTTATCATTTTATTTTTAAAATGTAAGACGAATAACGCTTCTGTTGATGCACACGTAAGCTTCGCGGCTCGAACCCATACATTCTTGGCCTATCCGGGGGGAGACGCCGGCATCGTGTGTCTGGAGGCCGACGTTTCGCCTGACATGTCGCAGCGCTTCCTAGGTCAGTGACACTGCGGCGCTGCTCGCCCGGTGTTATATACTATATGCCGGGTGTACGAGGCGCGCCACTGCCCTGAGGAGGCCTGCGACATGTCAGCCGAAACGTCGGCCTCCCAGCCAACGACGCGCGTCTCCCGGATAGCCAAAGAATTTTTGCTTCTGTGATAGATTGGTCGATTGGAGCGTCAATTAATAATGTCATTAGTCCTGTTACTATAGTGCATGTGTTGGCTTGGCAGGTGGAGTGATCTTCCCCCGTTGGATTGGTGAAAAAGGCGGCTGCCGACCCTACTGTCGGATAGCGGGTTTTTTTCCCAACCAGGTGTCTCCACTAGTAGCTCACGCCTCAGCCGGGACAACCTCTAAGCCTCCCGACAGGTCTCCCGGCCATGCCGGCGTGGCCAGTGTAGTGCAACCTAATTGAGGTAGAGGAAAGGACATGGAAAGAGGAAGGAAAGAATCGCGCACGGTCGTGCCCGTTGGTTGACCGGTACTGCTTCGAACATTTGCCTGGATTGATCGGAGAAACACGGAAAGCTAGTGACCAGGCAAACCGCCCGCTAGGAAATCTCCTTCAGTAGCGACAGAACTCGACCTAGCTATTCTGGCTAGTGTCGAAGTCCTGCCAAAAACAGTCAGAAACTGAACATTAGGCCTCCCGGTCAGAGGCCCCACAGCAGTGACATCAGTTGGGACGCTTGTTTTAAATCTTCTCTTGCCGGTACGTTTTGTATTTCTCAGTCAAAAAAAGAATTGAACATGCAAAATAACAGCTCCTTGAATGTAGTTCATATATATATAATAAGTGGGGAAAGTATTACCGAGTATTTCGTACGTCATTTCAGCTCTAATATATTTTCACAGGATGCGCGAAACAAAATTTCACCAAATAAATATGAAAATATGTAATATTATTGTTTAAATTAATACAAACGCTACCGGCCAGAGAAGATTTACAGCTCTAACTGATGTTCACTTGCTGTGCCTCTCTGACCGGGAGGCCCTAATGTCAAGTTCTGACGGTGGCGACTTTCGACACTAGCCAGATAGCTAGGTCGAGCTTCTGTACGCAACTGAAGGAGGATTCTTAGCGGGCGGTTTTGCCTGGTCACTTAGCTTTCCGTGGCGTTTCTCCGATCAATACCCAGTTTTAAATTCGAAGCAGTGTACCTCAACCAACGGGCCACTGACCACATCGCGGACGAATACATTTCCTTCCTCTTCCCCCATGTCCTTTCCTCACTCAATTAGGCCTGCACTTACACTGCCACCCATCGCGGGAGACCTGTCGGGAGGCTTAGAGGTTGTCCCGGCTGAGGCCGGTGAGCTCACGTGAGTGGGGACACCTGGTTGGGAAAAAAACCGCTGACCGACAGTAGGTCGTCCCCGCTTTTCACCACTCCAACGGTGGAAGATCGCACCTCCACCTGCCAAGCCCAAACACATGCACTATAGTAACAGAACTAATGACCTTAATCAATTGACGCTCCAATCGACCAATCTATCAGCAGAAAGCAAAAATATCTTTGGCTATCCGGGAGGACGCCGCGTCGTTGGCTGTGGAGGCCGACGTTTCGGCTGATCATGTCGGCAGGCCTTCCTCAGGGCAGTGGCGCGCTCGCGGTTGCACCCCGGCATCGATAGTAGTATACACCGGGCGAAGCAGCGCCGCAAGTTGTCACTCGACCTGAAAGGAAGCCCTGCGGACATTGTCAGGCGAAACGTCGGCCTCCCAGCCAACGCATGCGGCCGTCTCTCCGGATATAGCCAAGAATGTATGGTTCGAGCCGCGGAAGCTTACGTGGCAATCAACAGAAGCGTTATTATTCCGTCTTACATTTTTAAAAATAAAATGATACGGGCTGCGCTTAACTAGCATTTGAAATCGTGCTAGGCCCCGCTAGGAAGGCCCATTTTTCGCCCCACTGGGCCGCGCGA